CGGCGAATTACATCAAGGTATTGCGCCACGTGGGGGCGCCAATATTGATCTCAGATCTGGTATTTATCGACGCGAAAATTATTTATTCCACGGCGATTGCCGGCTACGTCAATATTCGCACGCTACCCCACATTATGATCACATCCGTTCCGCCGCCACCTCGGCGCGTCCAGGATGAGCTCGTCGCAGACGACAACGGGCCCAAGCACGTCGTTGGCGTTGACGACGACAAGACCGGATTATTCGAGAACAACGGGGACATCGTGGCCATGGCGACATCACACAACGCACCTAGATCTGCTTTGGAGCCATGGAATCGGCTGGAACCTGTGAAGAGCGAAACAGAATGGCGGAATGGGTCACGCGAGCCACTCATATTGAATGCCCATCCACAGGGGTGGCGTCAGGCGCACCATATATAAACAGTCCACTCGTCCTTCTCGACATTCCGCATCTTCTTCTACTCCTTCATCGTCGACAGCGACAGCGACAACGACCACGGTATAATCTCTTCTCGTCATCCTCACCGATCCCCTCGCCTACCTCTGACAAGATGACCCGCACCGAGCGCGCTGCCTTCCCCCGCGCCATCATCAAGGACCGCGCAGAGTCCAAGTCCGGCATGGACAAGAGCACCCCCAAGCACGGTGCTGGGCCACACAACTGGGGCTCTCTCATTGACGAGCGCGAGCTCGAGGAGGGCGCCGACTACGACGAAGCCCGTGAGACAGAGGCCGCAGGCAGTGCGTAACCTCGTGCCCATTCTCCATCAATTCGGATCCTGTGCTAACCTGCGCACGCTCGCGTGACCTCTCTTATAGCTCGCAAGGCTTCTCCGCCGTCCATTGAGCGCAGGACGAGCTCCGTGTCCGACGAGGACAGGGAGAAAGCTCGTGAGTTCAGGAAGAATGCCTTGAGGGCCGATGGTACGTTCATGCTTCCATTCCCGGCTTGATATATACTCACGGCTCATTGCAGGTCTTGACCTCTCTGCCATCGCGCGGACCTCTTCTGCTGTCTCGACCTCTCCTCCCAACCAGACCTCTCCTATTGTTACGGATGCCAACGTAAGCTCTTGCGCCTCTCATTGGTATCCTCATTCTGATTGCAACCCAATCAGACTGCTGCTGTGAAGGTGGACTAATGGACGCACGCGCGTAGAAGTAGCTCATAAAGCACTCATTCTGTAATTGTATCTCGCCGCATCACAGATCACAGTAATCAACTGCATTGCATGAATCGTACCAATACCTTTTACACTGATCTGCTCTGCGGGATTTCTCGGAAAAATTCCTTCTTTCAGTACCGAAGTTGCATATATGCCTTGCGCGGTATTTACAGCGCGGCTGGCATGCTCACAGCTGCTCACAGTCCTTCACACAGTCGGGTTCGATAGAAGGCTACAGCTACGCACTAACTTCGCCTGTATGCTGTGCACGACCAGCGCATCGAGATCCAAACTATCTTCGACCTCTTCAAGTTCAAAGGATGATAAGAATCATGCATTCTGCTCTAAATGTTGCCGAGGTGTACATGTAACACGCATAAGTAAGTGAGCATGTCGTCGAGTTTACTACAATGTTACGTGTCTGAAGACATGTAGAATCAATGGTAGAAGGGAAGTAGCAGTGCGCAAGGCTTGCTGCGATTTCGAGGCGAGTCCGTGATGCAGACGAAGTCATGGATCGAAGTTTCGATGCAGCCACTTCACCACGGTATCGCATCCTTGCTTAACCCGCGTGTCGCGGGTAGTCCATTATCAGAATCCTGGGGCTACTCGACCTAATGGCTGTTCCAGTCCTATGCTGGACAGCAGCAGCACCACTTTAATCAAGACTCTGCTCTGAGCCTGCAATCTGTAACGAAGAGGCACGCCGCATAAGTCATCGACTCTATCCCAGCAGCAAAAGCACGCTTACGAGTATCGGCGGCGGCCAAAACACGCTCTGCACAATCACACCCACGTCCACCTTCTGCGCCTCCCCTTCTCGACTCTGGTTCGCACTCGGACCTTCAAACTTCGCCCTCAACACCCTCTCCCTCGCCTTCGCAATTCCCACCGCGACACGCATCCCCACCTTCTCCGCTTCCCACACCTCCAAAGGCTCTCTCCTCTCAGAGAGCATCTCGTACGCAGGCTTCACCCACTGCTGACCCCTCCCTGTTCCGGAAGCAGCATCCAAGTCAAACCGCTGAGCAAGACAGATCCGCTCGATAGGCGTGAGGAGACCTCGGAGTCGCCAAAGCTCGGCGATGGCTCGGTCTCGGAGTCTGTAGAATGCGAGGCGTTGCGCAGTCGAGAGAAGAGACGTCCATCGCGTAAGGGAGGCGCGTGAGGTGTCTTTACGTTTTGGAACTTCGTACATCCTGAGCGGTCATCGATGATGTGAGCACCATTTGTTGTGAACAACATGAGAAAGGACATACCCGCTGTAAAAGAAGTCGAGAACGTGCTCAAACTCTTCCGCAGTCACATCTGGGAGGATAATAGGTGTGCCGTCAGATTTGCCTTCTGTAGCGACGGAGGGTCCTGGTGGGAGCTGGAACATCGTTTCGAAGCATTCGGATTCTCGCACAAGAAAGTACTTGTGCACTTTGAAGAGGCGGTTCTCGACCTGCGCCAAAAGAACGTCAGCATGAAGGTGGTGAGTTACGGCGAGCTTGAGAACGTACGAGAAAGATGACCATCTCATCATCGAAGTAGTACTTCTCATGGCGGACCGGGGCTTGCGGGTATTGGCTGGTAGCTGCGGTGGAGTGTCCGAAGGAGTAGGTCGTCCCGCTGCTGCTAGAGGCGGTCCTTACGCGAGAAGTGTCCCGAGATTGTGGGGGAGTTCTGATGAGAATACAGCGGATTGCAGGAGAGGGATCTAGAGACCACAGAGGATCACAGTCGACTTAAGATACAGACGTCGCTGATGGGCTTCTATCGATGGCCAACCAGATATGTGGTCCATGGCTGGAGAATGCGGCCAGACTCACCTTCAAAGCTTCACGACGACACGCAGCGATCTGACTGGACACGAAGCTTGTGCATTGTATCCATAGAATACATGCCCTTGTGACTAGAGGAGACGAGAGGGCGAGGCTTGCGATAATTTTGTTTCGACACGTTTCTAGCATGTACGAGTACAGGTCGTGTATGACGGGAGGCTGAAAACTGCAAGACGTTAAGAAAACCGACAATCAGCGTACAAATCGAGATATGAGCGAATCAATACGCACTTCGGGGTGCCCAGGCGACAGTCTCTAGTTATCTGTGGATACGGGGACCCAGCCCTCCTCCACATCTCCATCTCAAAGTCCATACAAATCTCCTGCACTGCGTGTTTACTGAACCAAAGCGCAAAGTGCCAGCAAGCTTCTATTCTTTTGAAACGCGAACGAGGGCTGTTTTCAGCATGGTCCCCCGTGCACGTTTTGCGTATAGGCAGAAAATGTTGCGATTTCGATTGTGTGCTTGACTGTTTGGAAGAAAGACTCAGAAAAGGCAGGACAATAAGATCAAGGAACATACAATATCTTCCACAAATTGACGAAGTCATCGTGTCATGAGAGTGTGCGTGCACCATGCACAAAGCTGAGTCCGTATATAACTCGTGTTGACGGGTTCAAGGATGGCCCGGTGGTCGATGTGCTATTCGCAGAGCTCGACCATTTGATTTGGGGCCTCGAGGAAGAATTGAGGAAAAGAACGAATGAATGCGTGTGTTGGGGAGAGGAGGAGAGAAAAAAGAGATGGACAGTGACACGATCGAATTCATGTAGTTAGCGCCCGAAGGCATCGCGCTCTGGCCACGAGCGTCTCGCTGTGCTCCCTCTTTCTCTTCTGACCAGCTGGAACGTAAACGCAAACAGTCACTGCAGTCACATTAACACCATGTTCGCCTCGCAATTGCCCATGACCACGGAGGAGAACTATCGCGAGGAACTCGAAGCGTTGTGTTGGCAGGAGGCACAGAGGATTCATGCAAGCGTGCGTCCTGTTTACATTTCTCGTGTCCGCCGTCCCGCAACCTGATACCTTCGCGAATGCAGTCCAGCGTGGATCGCGATGGTAGTGGGGACAGTCCAGAACCCGAGATTTCTGCAGATGCGTTGTCCAAAATCAAGTCTCTGCAGGGCCAGATCAGAGTAGCTTCGGACGCCAGTCTGTCCCTTGTAAGCACGACCATCATAACTACTCCCACTATATGCGCAATACTGGCTAAATTTTTTGTTCCCTGTGCACAGGAGAGGGTGACGCGATCAGAGAAGTTGGAAGAGTCGACCACTACCCCGACGAAACAAGATTTGGATCACATCGACACATTGGGACAGGAAGAAAAGACTACTGAAGACACTGCGACTCCTCAAGCCTTATCCAACGACCATACTCGAGCGGACCCTCTCACCAAGCTCCTTCTCTCGACTCGGATCTCTTGAACTTCAGCACTTGCAAGCTCGCCGCCGATTTCCTGCCTCCGTTTGCCGCAACTCAATACGCATATACCGACTTAAGAAGCTTCCGACTCAATCAAACATGTCTTTCCTGCCGACTGCTCATCCCGTGGACTCAATATACGATTTTCAAGCAAATCCTACCTGCACCGACTAATTCTTTGCCCTGTCGACGGTACCATTTTTCCCGATGCCACTCGTCAGGCCGTTGGTCGCTCTGCTCTTATGGAAGATGCCTATCAAACATTCACAGGTATGTGGACTTTCTATCTTTGTTTTCGCTCGCAAACCCACGTCTATTGCCGTTATGTGCAGACTTGCAATGTACCGTCTCGCTCTCGCTGCTGCTGTGACTCGTTGTGCTTTGTTCTCAGTCGCTCGCTCGCTAACTCTGCTGAACCTCTTGCTCCTCTTGCCGCCTGGCTTCTCTTCTCGTCAACCCGGCCTCTTTTTCATTGCTTCCTGCACGTTCTATCGCGAATCCATCCCGTTAATGTTGTAGCTTCGGTAGTCTACCTAGAAATGATGTGGAGAAAAAAGTTCCAAAAAATTGTATCCGCTACCTCTGACGGGACTCGAACCCGCAATCTTCACCTATTCCATTGTCGCTCAATGCGTTCGCGTGCATCACGTGACGAGTAGGAAAGTGACGCCCTACCATTGAGCTACAGGGGCTACAATGCAGCGCTTGCTTAAACGCTTCATAAGAGAATCAACGTTCGAGTCGTTGTCGCGTCGAAGAGTTACTTCCGAAGAGTACTCCTCCGATCCCTGCTTATTTCACACCAATCATTATCTCCCTCTCTCCACTTTCTTTACGATATAGTCGGCGTGCCGTCGACGGTGTCTTGCACATTCCACGATCATAGCTGAGCCGCAGGCAGACAGAGACTAGGAAATAGATTCAAGTTATCAGAAGCTCGCCACAAAACTTTAAATACTGGTGCCAGAGGACGTCCGCTCAAGTTACTCTAACACATTTCTTGTCACCTGCAAACGCTCATGAACTCCAACGTCCATGGCCAAGTAGAAGGATGTCCCCTGAATTGATAGGAGAGGAAGAGTCTGAACGCTTTGACAGGTCCGTTCAACAGTTCGCTCCTGCTCTGCGTTATCTAATCTTGAATCGTCTACTAGAAAACACTAAATGAGAGTCCGAGGAGAATCGCGTGACTGCATGAGCATACTGCTCAGATACCCGCTGGACGCCCACTTCCACGAAGCCATGCCCCCCGTGGATATCTTCGGTCGTTTCTCCACCGGGGTCAAATCGGCGTGACAGCTGTATCCAAGACGACAGGTACGACGCTCATGCATTTATGTATCAACTGACTCTAGCTGACTTTGGAGGAGAGCTTGCCGAACACCACTTGAGTGGCGGGTCAAAGTGACCTGATGTGACCATTCGCGAAGTTGGCGGGCGACGGTCGATCTTCGTAATCGGATACTCTGGTACGGCACTCTTTAGTCCAGGGGAACGCTGTCGGAGCTGTACCCGACGACTACCTGTAGACAGGACCGTCGCAGACATCGTTTGGATACACCTGGAACAGGTATGATACTTCCCCAATACAAAGCTCATTCATTGCAATTAGGCTCATGTATTGCAATTCAATCTCAGGTGGTCGGTTTACAGTAATATGCATGTCTTATGGCTGTTCCTATCGTTGAACTTCACATCGTATTTCTTTTCTTCATGTCCGCTCTCAGACGGAGGAGGCGGATCGCATCTCACGTATACAGGAGACCAGGCCGTGATTGTCTCGAATGAAGATCATGGAGCGCAGTCGGGATCACGTCTAGGATCTCGCAGACTTACTATCTTGACCGGTACCATTGAGGCCGGGGCCACTCACTCGCCCTTGATTGGAGCCTATACTACCTATGAGCCACTGTCTCGCAGACGGACAAAGTCATACGGTCAGCTTCACGAATACCTTTGAAATTGGCTCTCCTTCATGTGGATGATGCATGCCACGACTACACATTCATCTCATCAAGCGCTTTTCATGACTGCCATGTTTGACGAGATCTCATAGGCAGAATGTCAATTTTTCCCTCACGCTGACGTGCCCATGATCGTGCGTTTCCAATTCAGATTCGTCAATACCTTTACCCCGACACCGCCTTGCAACTCTCTTCAAAAGCAGAATTTGCGACGCTCAGTCGCCGAATTTTGTCGCCCGCACTCTTTTCATCACCCTCCCAACTGTCCTTACCCCATGTCTCGATTCCTCATTGCCGACATTCCAGCAACTTTGGTATGATTGCGTGCTTCTTAACATGTGCCTACGCTGACACCTCGTTCCTGCAGATACCATCCGCAAATGCCATTCTCGCCGCGGTGGTGATCACGGCATTGTATTTCATCGTTCCGCTCTTCATCCGCAGGAACATCACGGACGCCAAAGGCCACTCCATCCCACCCGGTCCCTTATTCCGCTACGCCTTCCTGCGCAAGTACCCAGAGCGCGCTCTGTACAAGTGGGCTCAGCAATATGGACCGCTCTTCTCGGTGTTCATGGGAAACCAGCTCTTCGTCGTCATTTCGGACCCGCAAGTAGCGAAGGACTTGCTGGTCACAAACGGCGCCATCTTCTCCAGCCGCAAGAGATACTTCATGAAGAACCAGACTATTCTCCGCGGTCGGGCTATCACCGCGTCAGAGTATGACGATACCTGGTGAGTGGAATTTACTTGGTCCTGACGTGCGAATAGCGCTGACGGCAATACCACGTTCAGGAGACAGCACAGGAGTATCGCCATGAAGTTGCTCACGCCCAAGGCCGTTGCTGGCTACAATGAAGTCCTCGAGTACGAAGCGGACATTCTCATTCGCTCCCTCTTGAAAGACTCTCGCAACGGCACCTTACCTGTGAACCCACACAATTATGCAGGACGTTATGCCCTCAAGTACGTCCCTCGCCTCGGACTCACTGTCATTGAGCCCCCGCTCATCTAGATCACGCAGCAACATGCTCACCATTTCTTTCGGTACTCGCACTGACTCTACGACTGATCCGCTTGTCGAGCCAGCTCTGCACATGGCCATGGAGTTCATGGACTTGACCGGTACGTTTGCTCGCCGACGCCACGGTTGAACTTGCTGACATAATTATCCAGGCCCTTGGTCTAATGCTATCGATTTCATCGAGCCCCTTCAGTGGATCCCCACGCAGATGCGTTCCCGTGGTCGGAAACTTCACGACGATCTTATCAAAGTGTACGGCGCTATGATCACGCGTGTCAGGGCTCGTCTGGCAGCTGGCGAGCACGTCCCCGACTGTCTAGCCAAAACCCTCATTGAGACTCAGAAAGAGGAGAACCTCGACGAGGAAGATCTCTGCATGCTTGCTGCTGTCTTTACTCTAGGCGGTGTCCACTCGGTACGTCATATCGCTTCTGCCAGGTGCACATGGCGCTCATGTTTGACTTCGTTATACGCAGACTGCGGGTATCATCCAGTGGTTCCTCGCCCTTATCCCCAGTCACCCCGATATCCAGGCTAGAGCACACGAGGAGCTCGATCGCGTCGTCGGTAGGGATCGTTGGCCCACGGCAGATGATGAGAAGAACCTGCCGTACATCCGTGCGATCATCAAGGAGGTACGCGTTGCACTGTCTTTCTATGGCTGCAAATAAGCGTTGCTGATTTCGAACGCAGGTCCAACGAGTTCATGCGCCCTTCTGGATGGCCACGCCTCACTGCTCCAGCGAGGACTTTGTCTACCAAGGCCAATACATCCCCAAAGGTACTGTCATGGTCCTGAACTGCTTCAGTCTGCATCACAACGAGCAGAGGTATAACGATTCGTGAGTGCTGTCGTCGTAAAACCCTGTGTGCCCGATTTAGTAACCTTCCACTGGCAGATTCACCTTCAATCCTGACCGTTACATGGGAGACGACCTCTCGTGCGCCGAATCAGCGAAGGTCGCCAACGTGATGGAACGGGATCACTGGACGTTCGGTGCTGGGTGCGTCATTTCTACTATTTCTTCTGCCATCTGAATACTCATCGATTTCAAATAGGCGGAGGATCTGCCCTGGTCTTCATGTGGCGGAGCGTGAGCTCTTCCTCGCTATCTCTCGCCTGCTTTGGAGTTTTAGCATGTATGAACTGCCTGGCCAGCCTATCTGCTTGGACGAGTACGAGGGTCTCAGCGGACGCACGCCGCTCCCTTATAAGGTCTCCCTCATTCCCCGTCACGACAACGTCCTGTCGTTAGTCGAGCAATCAAAGGAGATGACTCTCGAGTTCTGATATCGTCTATGGTCTCATGCCCAAAGACATATTTCTTGGTTGCTTTGGTCGTGTGCCTCTGGTGCTGTTGATTTTATTTAATAAACCACCCATAATCTTCTCTAGTTAGTATAAAACCAGTCAAACGAAGGTTACGAGTTTGACCCTGGGCGTATTTCTCATTTATGGACGATTATATAGAGCTTCAATTCATCGCTGTCAAGCTCTAGTATTTACCGCTTACAATGAACAAACATCACGAAGCGCACATTCAAGAGTGAACTTCGTTATCTTTTATTCGTACAGCGAGTTGGCCCGACGCAAACAGACGTTTACTCTTTATCTACAGGATTCCAGCTGATTGCGCCAGCAGCACCCTGGTCCAATGCGTTCAGCTCTTGCATATCCGTGGCGTCCAGTTCAAAGTCATAAAGCTGCGAGTTAGACAGGATCCTCGCCGGGTTCGAAGACCGGACTAGAGGAATGAGACCGGTCTGGAGAGACCATCGGAGCAGAATTTGAGCAGAATCCCGGGCATGCTGACAAAACACGGAAGTTAGTCTCGTACGAACAAACCAAGCTCGACGTTGCCATACCTTCTTCGCGATGCTGGTGATCACGGGGTTGCCCATATGCCCTCGAATGATAGGGCAATACGCTTCGATGTGAATGTTGTTTGCCTTGCAATACTCAACGACAGGACGCTGCTGGCACAATGGATGGAGCTGCGAATGCCTCAGGACTCAATCGACTAGTCTGGTGAATCTGAGTGTTATGCGACGTACCTCGACCTGGTTCACGGATGGGAGCTCCAATCCTGCGTTCTTGATCTCTTCGAGACGGGCGACGTTACTGAGAAGTTGCTGTCAGACTGAGCTCTTGGGCTTGTAAGAGAACCTCTCGCATACTAATTGGAAACACCAGCAGCGCGAATCTTCCCCGCCTTCTTGGCATCTAGAAGCCCTTTCCACGCTTGCAGTCGTGCCTCAGTGGTCGGAGGTGCGCTATGAATGAGATACAGATCGAGGTAGTCTGTGAGTGTTCAGAATGATTCAGTACGACATTACACAGTGTACGAAAACACGTACCCAGCCCGATAGTCTTCAGTGATACATCCACTGCGGCCGCTATCTCTGCATACTTCTCCCAAATGACTTTGCTAGCTATAAATTGATCCTCGATACATGAGACTTGAGGGCGTTCATAGAAGGGCATGTCACCCACTGATAAAGACGTCTTCGCGTTTGACACCACTCTTCCGAAGTGCAACACCGACGTCCGCTTCGTTCCGGTATGCCTGTGCGGTATCGAGATGTCTAAGATGGTTTCGTCATTCGATGTCATTACTGTCAAAGCTAATATTATACCTGTAGCCAACTTTCAAAGCCTCCACCGTGGACGGCACAGACAACGCCGCTGCATCTTCGATCTTCC